AAGATGTTTTGTTTAATTGAAAATGTAAATTCGAATTGAATAAGTAAAAAACCATATAAATATCGAATTCTTCCAAATAAATGTCGTTTATCATTATCAAATCTAATGATTTGTAATAATGAATATATATTAATAAGCGCAAATAATTATTTATATTTGTTTAATGGAAATTTAAAACTTATTCGATCTAATAATAATAAAAAAATTCTTAAAGATGATCTTAAAGATTTATGTTGGTCTTCTTATTTAAATAATTTTATAATATTAACAAAAAAAGATATTTATTTAATAAATCCATTAACAATTAAATTTTCAATTATTGAAAATATTAAATTAAAAGATCATCGAGAAGAATATATATCATGTACTTGTTCACAAGATAAAATTTATATAATTAAATATCAATTAAATACAAATTCATATTATCTTGAAGAATATTCTTTACCAACATTTCGTTTTTCAAGAAAATTTCAAATTCTTGATTTAATTGGAACTTCATTATGTATTAAAAATGGTTTTTATAATCAATTTTATAATATACAACAAATTATTTCAATTCGATATTATGAAGAAAAACTTATTATTATTATTAAAATTGATTTCAATTGGTTTATTTATATATTTCATTTATATGATAAACCAACTTTTTTAACTAAAATATATTTAGAAGATAAATCTCGAATGACTATTTTAAATTCAATAAATCAATTTGTTATTGTTAAAGATTATTTATCAAATTCATTTATTAAAATGACAATGGATTTTGAAAATAACTTTGAAACAAATCAATTTAATCAAAATAACAATTATTCAAAAGGATTTATTGATTTTAATGGAAAATTACGTAATGTTTCTTCATTTGGAACATCAAATATTGTTTTTCTTATTGATGATGCTCTTCTCATTTATAAATTATAAATTATATTTCAAAAACCAATATCTTATTTTAAAATAATATATATATCATGTTAAAACATTTATCAAGATTTTTTTTTCTAATGATTATTTGAATGAATTTAGTATAAGTGGCACGATTTGAAATTTATTGAAATCAAAATAAATGAAATCGTTACTTATAATTCGACAAATGAAACTCTTTTAAAGTTAACGTTTGAAAATGTAAAATGATTTTTTTCTCAAAATAATGTCAAACACTGTAGAACAACGAAAAAATAAACTTTATATATCGAAATATTTTTTTCTTCAACTTTCCTATAGTCTGATATGTTATTTTCAATATTTAACTATTATTATATATTGATTAATATATATTTGGTTGTTCGACAATTTTAATCGTTCGTCATTGGTTTGACTATTTTCAGTTTTTTTTTAAATCGTCGGTGTACAAGAATAATAGAACATATTTCAACTTGCAATTTTTGCTTGATCTATTTCAATATTAAGTAAACATTTGATCATATTTGTTTAATTAAGTTATAATTAATAGAATATTTTCAGCAAGTGATTTATTCATGAAAATCACTTTTACAAAACCAATCGAATGAGAATTGGATTTATCAAATATTTTGATGACAACTGATTCATCATTTCTGAGTTAATTAATATTGAATACTTTTAATAATTTTTAATTTAAGAACATAATTGAAATATTATTCGAAATTATGATCACTCATCAGTTAAATATTTCTGCTGGACAGTTTCTTTAATTTATTTTATATGTTTATTGAAAGATGTTGAAAAATGAATAGATGGATGTGGCTCATCTCTATCTCCACATCCACACCCTTAACAAGGTTAACAGTAATGAGTTTATAAAGTCGACCTTCGTTCTTTTTACTGTTGGATACTCTCGTTTTGAGTCTGTCTTATACATTTTGACTTTTATGATTGTTAATTGTGATATTTCAATGTTAACACTTTAGATTAATTGGCATTTAAAAAAAAAACTCAGCTCATAAGTAAAACTAATGACAATTAAGCATATACTTAAGGTCAGCAGCAATAAGCATGTCAAATTTGAACTGTTGTAAACAGTCATCTATCAAGTTATCGTCTCTCTTAGAGATTACAAAAACAAGTTGAAAAGTCTAACAATAATACCGGTGTTTTAATGATTTTTTTCTTTTTAGCTTATTTATAACAGATATAAAGATCTTGTTGAGAACATCTCACAGTTAATTATATTGCTTAATATTTTTTGACATTCTCGAATGCTTATGATTCCTCACTGCTTTGCAATATTTCGCCATTTTTCAGTAGTGAGTATTACTCAATACTCTTTTGCTATGCTTTATACTTCTTTGTACTGCGGCAAAATATATATATGCTTTTTTCTGTCCAATTTCAACATATTTCAATGCCCATTTAGGCCATACCAAGAATGATCCATGAATTTATCGAGAGGGGCAGTACGGGATGATTTTCTCTATCTGAGAAAGATTTTAATAGCTGCAAAGGAGTACGGATATCACAAAACGCAGATTTCTGGAGCTACACTCAAACTGACCTAATTTTTGTTCTTTAATAATTATAAATTTTGATAAAAGTAACAATTCTATCTTCTAATCAAGTAGTATATAAATATACTGTATAAAATCGATCTCTTAAGGCAAAATAAGACTAGATAGATAAGTGAAAAGTAGTCTTCGTATTGTTATTTCAAAGAAAATCCATAATGAAAAGAGAAGAAAAAAAAAGAACGGTTCGACCGAAAAATTAGAAATATATGTTTTGTAAAACTTGATTGAAAAGAAATTTAGAACGAGAAACCATGATTCATTTTTCTTTTCCTACTAGATATCTGTAGTAATACTTTTCAAAGATGATACTTGGCAAAGTCGTGGAATCGGCGACGAGCATGTGTATACTACTATAGCTTGTTGCCAGAAATATTTTTATCATTAACATATAGACATAACATAGTCATTTACAAAAGCAAAAAAAAACATCGTACTCTATTTTTCTTTAAGCATTCTCACGATGTTTAACATTGTTATTCCTTATTGAGATTACATTACTCTTGATAAACTAGGCCGTGCTGCACAGATTTAAAAAGATAGAAAAAAAACTAAAATTGACATTATTTATTTAAGAAATATAATTTTACATGCTAAGAAAAAACAAAAAATTATTCAACAATATTTAATTGAATATAATCAAATAATACATTATTCTATAAGAGTAGTCTCGAGTAATTTTAAATCCAAAATAAATATTCGATAGTTCGAATACTTTTATTTTACCTATGCTTTCAATAAACCAATTAGTATTACCATGTAATAAATAGTTTGATTCAAACCAATCATAATTCAGTTTGTTTTCATCAACTTCACAATCAAGATCATGATCAGCTAATGCAATAAAATAACATGCTACACATTTCTCTATATTGCGATTTTTACTACAGCATTCATTAAAGTATGATAAATAATTATCATTCTTATCGAGTTTAATACGGCATACAATTTCATAGATTCAAGGTAATATTTATTTAAATTTACCTTTTATACCAAGTTGATCAGTATTTATATTAGAATATAAACGAACACATAGACCCATTGAACTACTTGAGTCATATTTGTAATGTGAATGTATTGTGTTTGAGCAACACGTGTATGACCAAGTACACATTGTAAGTATACGGGAAAGAAATTCAGACATGATAAATGTTTACATTGAATTAGATAGAAATAAATTAGTTTACACCATGATATTTGATAAATATATTCATTAATTAAATTTTTATTTCAATTTAAATAATATTCAAATAATTCTTCGATTGTTAAAGAAATCTTATAATCATTTGTACGTGGACGTAATTTTTGCTTAACTATTCGTTTATAGGTAACATATCCATTACTATTATTTTTACAATCTAATACATTTCATAACCATAAATAACACATTAATTCTAGTAGGTTTTGAAAAGACTTTTCAAATTTTTTTTCTATCTTATTCTGTATTATATAAAACATAATCTGAACTTGTCTTGTTTTGGAATATTTCATGAACATAACGCTGATATAATTTAAATCCAAAATGATTTCTAATTAATATCATCCAAAAATAATTATTTTTTTCAATTAAAACATAATCGTTTGCATGTTTTCGACAAGTGTGTTATATCAATAAACGATAGATATTTACATAAATTATATAAAACAGAATGCTAAAGATCATCTAGAAACATTTCGTTCTAACAAAAAAAGCAACTTAATAATTTTTGTTTTATAGATTTCTTTAAAAAAACTACTATCAAATATAGACAAGAAAATTAAATGAAAAATTGAGAATAGTTATAGAAGTGGTACGACAGTAGAGCCCATTGAGTCCAAGAATTTCTGGACCCGAACCCGGACTTTATTGATTAATTTTTTGTGAGCCTACACTTGAATCGTACTCTTAAATCACTGCATAAAACATTTGATGAGTACCATACGTAGGGGTCTCAATTCACACTTACTTTCAACTTAATTCATGCATAAATTTAATTGTTGCTAGTTTAATATTTAAAATAAATATAAATTTGTATGTTTTTTTTTGAAAATTTATATTTATTTTTAAGCATAAACATTTTGTTTTGATAGTTTGTATTTAAAAATAAATATAAATGATCATAAGTTATATTCATTTTAAATATAAATAATGATAATTCATATTTATTTTTAGGTATAAGTTATTAAAAAGAATTATTTATGTTTGTTTTAAATATAAATTACCGATAATTTATATTTATTTTAAATTGACAGAAAAATGATACTCCTAATCATACTTTACATATTCTTTAAACGGCCTGATAGTGATCCCATAATAATTAAATTACAATTACTGTAGTTCTTACTTCTATCTAATAGTTTCTGATAGAAGAATGAATGTAAGCGTCACAAAGACTTTATGTTATTTCTTCTAGTCAACAACAATTCTATTACCAGTGATACTTTTTATATTATATATATAAAAGAAAGAAATTACTAAATACATATTAGAAATGAATAACAATAAATAAAGCCTTTAATTTTATTTATATGTATATATATATATATATAATATTTCAGACATCTTACAAGACTAGAGAAATACAAAAAAAAAACAAACAAGCACTTCAATATAAAAAAACGGTACAATAAAAAAAACCTGGTACCATAGGAGTTCTACTATTATATCATTCGTTTTTCTTTCTCATAATTTTCAACTGGCACTACAAGTCATTTTCGCGTAGACTACTATTTCTCAAAAGTAAAATTTCTCCTTCAGAGAACATTGAGCATTGCAATAAAAATCTAACTAAAACCTTAAATACAAAAACCACTACATTTCTCCACTAAGATGACCTTATAGATCATAGAGAGAAAAAACGAGAATGTTCAAGTGACTGTTAGATAGAATGATAGATATTAAAAAACTCCTCATTATTTTAAATGTCAATGTGAAGCCTTATGTACTAAAGAAAAACATACACCGCGCTGAATACTAAAAATGAATCGACTCATCCAATTGAAAGCACCACGGAAAGTTCTTTTTTCTCTAAAAGAAGAAAATATATAATAATTTTAACATACAAACTACCTACTTAGGCTTTTCGCATATGAAAATAAATAAAACAAAACAAAGTTATGATCCACAAACGATAGGTCAACCATAATGACCAGTCCTTGATATCTTGCTGATACATATAAAAGAGAACGCTAAAAGAAAATTTGTTGGCCTCTAAAAATTTATGAGCAAAAAAATAACAGCTATTTACAAATGAAATTGGTAAAAGAAAATCAATAACTAATAGAGTTCTCGCATTTGTAGATTATTTAATTGTACGGATAAAAAGAAAAAGAAAGTCAAGATCTTGTACGAATCACAGTTGACATGGGAATGCAGTTGAGTTTAGAATACGCAGAATAAGTTTTTAAAAAATTCTCATAAAAAAAGATTTTATAATAAGAATAAAAATTCATAAACAATGT